CTCTACCACTTGAGCCACAGCGCCACTTCTGGCTTTTTTCTTTTTGCTTATGTGGTGCTGAGGAATCGAACCCAGGGCCTCAGACATGCAAGGCAAGCGCTCTACCACTGAGCCATCTTCCCAGCCCACAAATTCAGATTTTTTTTGTTAATTTTACACATATGCGGAAACATCTACAAGTATATTATAGTAAGCATGCATGTATTTCCTGTTCTAGCTACTGAGCAGGCATGGAAGCAGCATATTCTAGTAACAAGCATACTAACACTCTAAAAAAATTTTTTTTCTGGTCCTGGGGCTTGAACTCAGGGCCTGGGCACTGTCCTTGAGCTTCTCTGTGCTCGAGGCAAGTGCTCTACCACTTGAGCCACAGCGCCACTTCCAGTTTTTTCTGTTTATGTGGTACTGAGGAATCAAATCCAGGGCTTCATGCATGCTAGGCTAGCACTCTATCACTAAGCCACAATCCCAGCCCCTCCAATTTTTGTCCATTTCCTAATAAGAGTAAGAGAGGAGTCCGGCATTGGTGGCTCATGCCTATACTGCTAGCTACTCAGGAGGCTGAGATCTGAGTACCACGGTTCAAAGCCAACCTGGGTAGGAAAGTCTGGGAAATTCTTATCTCCAATAAACCACCAGAAAACTGGAAGTAGCACTGTGGTTCAAAAGGTACAGTACTTCCCTTGAGCAAGGCAAGAGAGTTCAAGCACAAAAAAAAAAAAAAGAGTAAAAGGAACAAGAGAGAGAAGAAAATAGGAAATTAGAAAACTTCCCTCAGAATACCATAGCAATAGTGGGTTTCTGAGCAAAACATCGTAACATATGCACACCTGCAATACTACAATAAAACCTTTTGGTACCATAATACACACTAAAAAGAAAAAGAAAAATGAATGACATGGAATTAAAATAGGCCTGGAGGTGGGCACACTACCAGAAGGGAAGAAGGGGAACACAGAGGAAGAGTATCATTGATGTAAGTTTATTTGTACAAATGAAAACAGAACAATGAAACTTCATAAACTTGTTTTAAAAGGGGGAGAAGGATATGAGGAGAATGACAAATGAAACTGATCAAGACACACTGTTTATACACGTGGAAATGTTGCAATGAGCCCTCTTATAAAAAGAAAATGGCAAGATCCAATAACAAGTGCTAAAATTAGACCTCAGAAGAAACAGGGTACATGTAGTCTCAAAGAATCTGTCTCAAATCTTTCAGTTATAAAGGGAAAATCAATAAATTTATATCACTCCTCAATGAAGCAATCTGATTAATATTTCACCAACAGTAGGTTTCAACATCATTCATATACCCCATGTCATGATGCATTAAGGAGGGCACACTACCTCTGTAGTATCTTTCCAGACAAAGTATAGCAATTAAAAAAGAAAAAAAGCATTGGAGGGCACATGCCTGTAAGCCTAACTTTGTGGAAGATTGAGATTTGAGATGGGGGGGAGGGGAGGGGAAGAACAAGGTTATTAAAGGAAAACTTAGGAACTCTCATAGCCTAGAGGACAAAGAGAAACATGATAATGAACTGGACTATCGAGATCATGTAATTTAGAGCAGAATAAGGACATTAGTGTAATAATTAATAAAATCTAAAGAAATGCTATAGTTGGGCTGGGAAGGTGGCTCAGTGGTAGAGCGCCTGCCTTGCATGCTCGAGGCCCTGGGTTCGATTCCTCAGCA